GATGCACGCACTTCCCCTCCTCACCAACATAACAAGCAAAACAGGCAAACAAGACACGTGGAATTGACGGCAAGCACAACAGCACGAAAAAACATAAGACCGCGACTGAGTCGCTGTGCAACTGAACATCGAACGGCGGCAGTTCAAATGGCCGCTGTGTGTATTTCCGGTGAATCCGAATGTCGGTGCTTGATTGCAGCCGTGGTCCATCCAGTTCAGCGAGAATCCGCATTTCTTTCCTGTGTAGAGATCCCTCCCACACTGGAACTATGCGAAAACTAGGAATATAGTCGTAATACACTGCTACTTACAGCTACCTCAGACTTTAGTTTTAGTTTTAGACCCGGACTTTTGCAGCACTGGTGCCTGTGACGCCCGGGCAGGGGGAGGGGGTGGAAGACCCACCGCCGCCCCTTGGACCCACCTACGTCTCCGACAGAGGGTTTGTGCACTTAGACGTTTACTCTTTCTCAAATCCCCGTCTTCAGCTGAATGGTGGCATAATGTGGAATCCCCTTCTTTCTTCCCCATTCCCCCTCTAGGAGAGACGGCATTTCGAAGAGACGGCAATTCCAGCTTCTGACTGGCACCATTCTTCCCCTCCTGTAGCCTGTCCCCAATTCCTGCCTCCAGAGCATCGGGCCACCCACCACCTACAACCACTGTCACCGTTTATCGTCCTGAACTCCTAACCAGCAACTTCATTGTTCCCCATTATCCTGGCCTCGATCGCGCCCTCTGAACTGTTTCTAGGCAGCTACCAAAAAACACCCCCCAACCACGTCCAGTCCTCCCAACCGTCATCCCGCGGCCACGTGGTCAAACCGCCAGGCACTGGGCAGCGCTATCCAGCGCGCCTGGCAAAGTTCCAGCGAGCGACACCGCGAAATAGTGTTGGCAGAGACGATAAAGCAAGGTGCTGGAAGGCCAAAGCACCACAGATCACGGCAATTACAACCCAGGTTGGAACGCACCATGCTCTCCGGTGCGATCATGCGTTTTTGCACTAAACTCGTAGATCGCTATTAGCAAGAGCGATCCATACCCTGTACTCTAACACTTGGGTTATATTGGTCGTGCTTTGAATCTTTCCGGCATGCAGGAGGAAAAGTGTCAGTTGGGATGAAGGTGGTGCATTATAGAGCCGCACGGACATGATTATCGGTTTTTTGCATGAAATGCGGTCGTTTTTTCGGTAAATGCTCACTTTGCAAAAAATGACAAATGCAAAATTTTTCGGGAAAATGCAAATTTCCAGTTCACTAAAAAGTGGAAGTATTGCTCGAGCGGTCGTTTGTCAAAAAATCTATATTCATTTAAAAATACCGTTGCGGTTAAGGTCCGAGCTGCGAACGATTTTTGGGTTCAGGAGCTGCTTGCGACTGTGGTTGGGAAGCTAGAGAACTGAGTTTAAAACTTTTATCTCGCACGTGCATAGAGAATGTCTCTGCAAACTTTCAGCTTTCTACGTTTCTTGGTTCGCGAAATCGTTTTTCGCCAAGATATTTCTTTGGCGGTCCCATACGCGGGGTTTAGGAGCGTGTGGAGAAAGATCTTAAAACGGGAGGATAACACATGGGGTAAGAACATATATCCAAAATTTCAGCTCCCCAGCTTTCCTGGTTGCTGAGATGAAAGTGGCTGACAACATACACTCGCTTTCCGAACACACACACACACGCACGCATACACACAAACACACAGACAGCCTCTCGACAATATGCGTTTTTGCTGGCTGTAGCAGCGCTATAGCGGCTATAGCGTTGCTACAGCCAGCAAAAACGCATAATAACCTGACTCAGCTCGGCAGATGATCTATGTTGCTCTAGCCTTCCAGCACTTCGCTCCATCATCTCTGCCTATACTATTCCGAGGCGTCGCTCGCTGGAACTTTGCCAGACGGGCTGCGTAGCGCTGTCCAGCGGCTGGCGGATGAATTACGTGGGTAAATGTCTTTGATGAGTTGTTGTGAGGTGTTACGAGGTCGTTTCGGCTAGGCAAGACGAAGAGCGAAGCATTATCACATTAAATTTATCTTAACTTGGCAAGGAAAATGAGAAAGTTAAACAAGAATACAACTGAAATGACCTGTTCGGGGACCGGTAGAATTAGTCGGAGTAAAACGGCGTTTAGACGACTGGGACCGTTCAAGGAAACTAACGATTTGTAGCAAATTCGGGATGTCAAAGGCGAGTGCACTGAAGCGAGTTCCGAACCGAAGATTGAAGTCCCAGATCAACATAAGACGAATCCCAGCAAAAGACCAAGAATGAAGAAAACTAGGGGAGATAGGTCCTGCCCCTAAGAGGAGGTGGCCCGGTATGTTTAACCCTTTTGTATCCAGCCGTAGTCGCTCGATACAAAAACACAATCATTTTACAAAAGTACGTGTCAGCTCTGGTTTTGTATTTATACAAAATCCCATGAGGATATAGGGGTGAGTTACGATATGGATGGGAAAAGGATAAAGGGGAAACAAAGAAGAATTTGAAAAATAGGTTTGTTATTGAGGAAACGGAATTAGAATATGAATATTTACACTTGGCTGGGGGGAGGGAGGTGATGGGTGGGAGGACTGGGTGTGGTTGGAAGTGTTGGTTGGTAGTTGCCTAGATACAGCTCAGAGGGCGCGATTTAGGCCAGGATAATGGGGAGGAATGAAGTTGACAGGATTTAGTGAAACTTATGCTTAGATTAAGCGAGGGACAAATAATTTCGACAGGATTTATTGAAACTTGTGCTTAGGTGAAGTTGAGGGCAAATAAGTTTGATAGGATTTACTGAAACTTATGCTTAGGTGAAGCTGAAGGCAAATAAGTCCAACTGGATTACACAGGAATTGCAGACAATTCCAAAATGTTGCCTTTTGCAGCCTACAACTGTGCACAACAGCTGTACCTTTGTTTTTTGTCTTCAAAATCTCACAGAAGCAAAGTCTGACTTCATCCTAGGCATCCGTTCTACCCTGTTTTTACCCATTTCATGGAACTTATTCGCTCTCAGCTTTACCTAAGCATCAGC